AAAGAGGACTCTCCTTGTTAATTGGCACCAAATGGAAAAAATGAACACTGCTTACTGTTTATCCACCCGGGTCCTCTGAGGTTTACTTAGCCTTGTTACATGAAAAATTAAAATTAAGTAACGTCTCTCAGGCCCTTTTCTCACTGGAAGAAAATCCTGCTACAGAACAGAACCTGGATAGACTTCGCAGGGTCTCCTGAGGTCTTTTAGTACATGTAGAGCTTGGTTTGCTCGCCACTCTGCGTGATAGAGCTTGATAATGGTTGTGAGCAAGGTTGTGCAGGTTTGTTTTGGTCTTGTGCTGGGGTATCCCACAACTTGGAAAATAGAAGCGGGTAAAGAATGGATCTTGGATCCTGAGGGAAGCATTTTGGTAGTGAGGGGTTGGATCAGGAAGTGTTGATCTTCAAATCCAAAAGTCAGGAGTTTGATCCCAAGCTGCCCAGCCCTCTAACAGGGATGGGCAACTGGTGCCGTATCCTGCGGGTGACTTCCATCGGGCCTGCAGCTCTTAGAACCTAAGAATTTCAAGGCAAACCTCTCTGCTTAGAGACGCCGTCTGCCATGAAGGATTTTAATATGTCACCACTAAAACACGTTGCACAAAGCTAAATATGAGACGTTTACCGAAATCGCAAGTATATAAACAGAGACTTACCATTTATCAGAACCACACAGGAGTCTGCACTAAAGGTGTTTTACGTCGTTAATCCTTCGGACGTTCACCTGCATTTTGACCCTCAAAAATCTGTAATTTTTTACAAAAAAATACGTAAAATCCAAAAGACAGAATGTGGGGGGAAGATGACAGTACCTGCAGAGGAGCAGGGAAAGAAAGAGGGGGATAGTGTTGGATATGGTTATTTAATCTTATTCATTTATTTATGTTTATGTCTTACAGACTTTGAGGTATAACATACATCTGAAAGTGAGTTTTTTGAAAGAATCCATGAGATTTCTTTACATTTACACAGCTTTGTTTAGTGGAACCAGTTCACATAGTGGTTAAGTAAATTCATCAAGTTGTTGGATATTTTGTGTTTGATTAACTGAATTTTAGATACAATCTTATTTTTTTATACTTCCTGACTGGTTGTATTTTTATTTACTTTAAACAGTAAGAGAATCAACAAGTCTCTTTTTAATACTGTACGTGCCTCTCTCCAGCAGTAGTGATGTGCGGATGCGGATTAATACCAGAAGTTTATGCTCTAGAATCGTTACTAAAAACAAAATATCACTACTTTGACACTTGGGTCCTTTCAGGAACACAGTGGAAAGTAACTAAGCTATTGAAATTTTGTTTAAATCAAAATTGCTTAGAGGGAACTACTTTTTCTTCCACCTGGGTAATGTGTAAGAGCAGTGATTTGAAATTAACTACCTTTTTTAGATTTATCAGACACATTAGGTGTTTTTGAACAAAGTATCAGTATTGCTGCCTAAGTTACTTGATATCAGAATCTGAAAAGAAACTAGTTGTATCAAACACTATCCAATTTTTTCTCACAATTTTACTTAAATACTGTAACAATGTAAATGTCAACTGATAATAGAAATCAGAGAAAAGACTTTATTTCAGTCGGTTTTACAGATAAGTTTATCTGAGACTTGATGCACATCCACATTTAATGAACTTTTGGGTTAAACCAGTTCAAGATGGCAGCTACTCGTCAACTTTAACAAACACACAAAAAAATGGTTTTAAGGAGAAAAGTAGCTCTAATTTGTGTGTTTTTCCACCGTCTTCAGACAACTCAGTTTGGGATTCTGGCAAATTTGTGGGGGAATGATGCCAAATTCTATGAAAATTAAAGCAAATAAATTCAACCAAAGTTAAAGATATTTATATATAATTATAAAAGAAGTAGTAGATTTAGGTTTTAAAACTTATATGACACGATTCAACAAACTTAAACCAAAGATTTGCTACAATAAAACCAGAAGAGAAGCTAAAGTCAAACACGAATAAAAGGCAGTTCTTTATTGATCCAGAAACCTTCAGCAGATACAAAAAGCTTAATTTGCTGCAGAACATTTTCTCCTAAAGCTTTTCCTTTTCTCCTCGTTTCAGTAAATCTGGATGGAAAGCTGAAGGAGTGTTTTTTTTATTTTTTTGTCTGAGAGTTGGAGCTGACAGCCGAACACAGCAGGGAAGTTATAAAGTATTCAATAAGGCTCTGGAAGACTGACAAAAAGAAATATAGACTATCACCAGCGTTGTTCTTTACCCAGGAGCTTTGAGTTCCTGAACTTCACACAACAATACTTTATTTTGTATTAAAAGACTCTGGAAGGAAAACCAGTTTACTCATGCATTCGTTATGAAGGTTTTTTTTTTTTTGTTGTTGTTGTTTTATTGATGGCAGAACTGTAATCAGGACAACTCTTAATAATGCCATGTGGACCCAAGTGTTAGGGGACAGGGTTGAATATTGAATATTTGAGAAATGAGGTCGCCCTGCATCCACATTTTGAGAACAGCGGCAGCCGTTTGCACCCTCGGGGGGTCGCTGAGCCCGAAATCAGTTCCCACTCCCCGCGTGTGCGTGATAACATCCTCGAATTAAAGCCGAGCGTCTGCGTGATAACCTCCCCTTCTCTTTGTCTGGCTTCAAGTGCGACGTGCCGGAGCGCAGACCTGAAATAATGGCACATAAATACTGGAGGCGAAGAACCCCCCACCCCTTCTCTCTGCTGGGCCTCCTGGAGGGGGGCAGTTTAATGTGGATCCAGAGCAGATTAGGGGGCTAAAGCTACGTACAGTAATCATTGTGATGGGCTTAAACCGAACAGGGTGGGGGTCTCCTCAAGGTTAAACTGAGTGTTGTCTTTTCCTGCCATTAATCAGTGAGCGCTCATTCAGCCAGTTTGTGGAGATGTATCAGTTGTTTTATTGACCTATTTATGTATTTTTTATTCTTATTATCATATTGTTTTAATGTTGTTTATAAATCAGAACATTCAGCTCCAGGGATGGCCTCTGGCATAGGTAGTGTAGGCAAAGGCTAATGGCGCCGTCCATGAAGGAGGCTTCACAAAAATGAAAAAAAAAAAAAATTATATATATGTATATATTACAACTTTTTACCAGAGTATAGTTGGTCTATCACTGGCTACTCAAGTTTATGAAGGCATCTTATTCTGTGGTGCAGAGGAAGTTTCATTAAAAGTATCATATGATGCAGTCAACTACTGGTGATCAGTGTGCAATAATAATAATAATAATAATAATAATAACAATACGAATGGAAGCGAAGGGAAATGTGTCCAAAAGGGCATGAATCAGGTGCAGGAAACAGTTTTTCAAACACAAAATATCTAACAGATATTCAGTTACGATCTCAGATAAAGTTCAGGTTAAAGTCTGGTTTTTATTGTTCTACCTTCATAAATTAAAAAGTTTATATTTTATTAATTCTAAAAAAACGAGCAAAGCACTTTTTAAATGGCTGGAAAATGTAGGGTTTTGAGTAGAATTTTTTAACACATTTTTCAGGGGAGCATACCCCTGGAGCCCCCTAGAACTGCTTCACTCCACAGCTGCTGGTTAACGTGAAGAAGTGTTTCTCAGGATGTCAGCAGTCTTTGGCAGGTATGACCTAGATTTCTGTTTCAAATTATTTATATCATTAACTATTTCAATTGAACAAATGGTTTCTAAAGGTAAAAAAACAATATTGAAGACAAAACTGTTTAATTTGTTGTGTTAATATATGTATGTCACAGAGGAGGACTGAAAATGTTGTTTGTGTGGAGATGACCTTTTTGTTTTTTTTGTCCTTGTATACGTTTATCAGAAAAGTATTGTTTGGTAAAGTCCTTGACGCTTTTACCCAGATTTTTTTATATGGGTGATGAAGATAAACTACAGTATTTATTCAAGTACTACTTGTTTCAGTTTGCTCAGTATGGTTCAAAAGCTTGACATTAATAAAGGACACTTGATGTTTGAATGATGTTGGTCTCTGTTTGCATCTTTGAATATGTTTGTGTGTCTTATAAACCCATGAGACCTGAGCACCTTTTCTGGTGTTTGGCAAAAAGGAAATAAATGGCAGTGAGTTTATAAAAGTACACCTGAAATCTTGCCTAGGGTGCCAAATTGGCTAGGGCCGGCCCCGTTCAGCTCGTACAGGAGCTTTGTTTTTGGTGTACATCTCAAACTTTTTGACTAAGATTAGGAATGACAGAATCTCAAGGCGCAGATGTGGAGAGGAGAGTGTTTGGTTTGGGAGCCATCGCTGCTGTATGCAGATGATGTGGTTCTGTTGGCGTCTTCAGGCCAAGACCTTCAGCGTGTATTGGGGCGGTTTTCAGCTGAGTGTGAAGCAGCTGGGATGAACGTCAGTTCCTCTAAGTCTGAGGCCATGGTTCTCAACTGGAGAAGGTTGAAATGCCCCCTCTTGGTCGGGGGAGAGTCTCTGCCTCAAGTGGATGAGTTTACGTATCTGAGTGTCTTGTTCACAATAGAGCGGAAGATGGATCGATGGATTGGGGCCTCATCCTCAGTAATGAGGGCATTGCTTCGGTCAGTCATAGTGAAAAAAGAGCTGAGGTGAAAGGCAAATCTCTTGATTTGCTGGTCTGTCTTTGTTCCAACCTTCACCTGTGGTCATGAGGTGTGTACCATGACAGAAAGAACAAGATAGTGGATACAAGCAGTCGAAATGAGCTTCCTTCACAGGGTGGCCGGGCTCCGCCTTAGAGGTAGGGTGAGGAGCTCTGTCATCCGGGGGGAGCTCTGAGTAGAGCCACTGCTCCTCCACGGCGAAAGGAGTCAGTTGAGGTGGTTCATCTGATTAGGACGCCTCCCTTTAGAGGTGCTCCAGGCACGTCCCACTGGTAGGATGCCCTGGAGAAGACCCAGGACTCGCTGGAGGGATTATGTATCCTTTCTGGTCTGGGAACACCTCGGGGTCCCCCAGGAAGAGCTGGAAAGTGTCTCTGGGGAGAGGGATGTCTGGGTTTCTCTCCTGGACCTGTTGCCTCCGCGACCCGACTATAAGCAGAAGAAGATGGAGATGGAGAGATAGGAATGACATCATCAGTGGTAGAGCACAGGTTGAACGACTGAGAGATGTGGTAGAAGAACGTGAGGAAGGCAGGACAAAGTCAAAGGTGCAGACATGGAGGTGGTTAGAGTGAGGTGGAGGAGGTGACCTCATGAAAGGTCAACTCATTTAGCCTCAATCAACAGGCCAAACTTTTGTCCCAGAAATAACTGAACAACTGCTCCGTCCTCGTGTATCCTGCAGCTTTAATCCAACTAAAAGTTTCTTAAATGTGACGATTCCTCTGCATTTTGTTTATAAGTGCAACAAAAGGCAGCAGCTTCCTGAGAGAAGCCCATCACAGATATTTGGGTTGTTTTGTTGCCTTTGTGCCAGTTCTCTGTAACTTATTTATGATTCAGGAGACTCGGAACAGCAAACTGAAAGGAGGGGTGGATACGAGGAGAAGGTTTTAAAACCCAGAACGAAGCAGGAGGGTTGGATGAGTGGAAGGTGAAGCGGCGAGAGGAGTGGAAATGTTTCGCTCCACCGTGAGACCTTCAATGTGATCAGATGAAAGAGCAGACCTGATGTGGAAGGAAAAAGGAGGCGAGGAAGGAGGAGAGGGGTGTTTCCCTGCAGGCGGGGATGTGTTTGTGTGTGAACTAATCTCTCTCTTTTACACACACACACACACACACACCCTCCCTCTCAGTGGCTCAGTCAGTTGCGCTAACACTCGCTGAGGTCGGCAGCACAAAGCAAAGACGCTCCGTTACCGTCTCAGGCTCACACACGCCTCCAACGCTCGACACACACCTTCTCTGCAGGAACCCAAGCTAAACTGAAACGCAAGGAGCAAAGAGAAAGTGAAAAGGAGGTTAAAGGACGTCCACATCCTGAGAGAAATTTGAGGAAAAACGACAACAACGACCTCGTAAGACCTGTTTTTCATATTTAAATTTCACTCTGCTTTAAATTTCTCTCTCAAAACAGCTCAGAGAAACGTCTGTAAATCAGCAACACCTGTTTTAGTAAAGGACAGAGTGCAGAAAGCTGCAAAAAGTCCAAGATTGCACAACGCAGTGACAAGTTGCTGCACCTGTGCAACCTCACCTCCTCTCACTTTCTGGAACTTTATGACCTCTGTGTGTATTTATTTAGATCACAATGCTTCTCTTTTCAATCTGTAACTCACCTGTGAGCCGGAGATCAAACATGGAGTAGTTTGTGTCGCTGTAAAGTGATTAAAGCTGATCGATTTCAGAAGTCTTGCAGAAGAAGCGGAGCCAAAAATAGGCAGCAGCTTCTGAGAATTAGAGACAAAATTTGTAAGTAGAAAATTTAAAAAACATGGAAACAAAGGTGTCACTGAACATAAAACATAGCGTCTGAGAGTTCCTCTGGCAAAAATTAAAAAAAGTTAGTTTTGATTGATAAACAACAAATGTTTGAAAAGATTGAAGAAATGTTTTTGCAGTTTGTGCAGAAATGTAATGTTTTATTGACGACCGCGGTCCAGTTATGATGCTGTTTGAATCAAATCCCTTCACTTTAGTAGGAAGTGTGCAGAAGTCATTAACCTTTTGTTTGCATGACTGTAAAAATAGAGTAATAGTGAATCTGGAGGTAAAAAGGGGAAATGAGAGTAAATTTCTCTTTCACTTCTTATTCATGACTATCTATTTAAATAAATAATAATAATCTTAATAATCTTCTTAAGCCTGTCAAAATAGAAGAACTCTATGGTTTATGCCAGGGCTATTCAACTGGCGGTCTGCGGGCCACATCTGGCCCGCGAGTGACCAAAGTTCAGCCTGCTTTTATTTGCATATTTTACTCAACAAATCTGACCATAAACAGATTTTTATTGCACTGAAATTGACATTTCTGCTGTTTTTTATAGGTAAACAACTGCCACACATGATAGCTGGTCATTTGCACATTTTGTTTACAGATTCTTAATTTAAGGACACATTTATTATGCTATACATACTATAACATGAAAACCAAAAATTGTGCAGATTTTGTTTCTACAAATTTCAATGACACCTTCGAATCTCCCCAAGCCTCTAAAGCAGGGCTATTCAATTAGTGGCCCGTGGGCCACATCCGGCCTGCGAGTGACCAAAGTTCGGCCCGCCAATTGGTTCATTCATCTCTTAAGCCCAAATCCTGGTTTTCTACTTTAATAATTACTATACGTTTTTCTAGTCAGACATAAATGTGTGGTATCTACAAAAATGTCAAAATCTTGGCTAGAAGCTGGTAAAAAATATTTGAATATCCAAGACAGTTAAAACTACAAGCAGTTGAAGGATAAAACTATGAAATTGGTTTTAAAATTTGGCAAGTTGGAGATGTCAAAATAATATTTGTGTTAAAGGTATTATATCATGCTTTTAAATCCTTCTTTTTCATGTTTAAATCATTGACTTATGGTCTATTTAAAATAAAACTGCAACACTTTAAATACTCTTTACTTAAATACACTTTAAATACTCTCTTTAAATACAACTGAGATATTTCACACCCCGCCCCCTCCAGGTCGCTGAACGTTCGACTCCAACCCGTTCGGCCATGTTTGTAGTTTCATAGCAACAACACAGTTATCTACCGACTAAAAACTGTTTTTAAGAGAAAATAAGATAAGATAAAACTTTATTGATCCCACAGTCTGGAAATTTGCACATTACTGCAGCTTAATACAAGAGAGGCTGAGAAGAATAATGAAAAATTAATAAAGGATAACAAACAAAACCCCACAATATACACATGTAATATATAGTAATGTACCAATGCACACATACACATATACATAAACATATATGCTTATTTATATACATATATAAATCATAAAGTACAGTACAAAAATGAATGTATATGAAGGTGTGTATTAGTAATGGCAGTGGCAAAAAAGTATAAGGATGTCAACAACAGTAGACTTGTCAATCCAGCCTAACATGTATGAGCCAGAGTCTGACCCAGTGCAAGACACTCAGAATGACAAACCTGCAGAACCACGTCTTCAAACGAATGTGTCACAATGGTGCGTTATTTATTTACACACTCTATATCCTTACCTACACTGGGGAGCATAGCTAAACTAAAATACATGCATTTGAACATGCATTTGTGGACTGAGTTCAGATGTGGTGCAGAGGGTGGTGTGAAGATGTGGCATCAGGMCGTGKARTGAAGACGCGTGYATCAGGRCGTGTAGTGAAGACGCGTGCATCAGGAGGCTGTGTGGAGATGCTAGCCTTGTCTGGGACAACTGGAGATGAATCCACAGCACAGTCTGGAAAACATCAACAACATTAAAATGTACACAGTCTTTGCATAGTAGAAACAGTAAAGTGTCACTTATTTTTGTAATTTTTGTTTAACATTGTGAGGAAAAGTTTCTCATTCAACACTTTCACACATCAGATGCCCTTGTGACACGACTTTGAATAAGGGAGATATAATTAAAGTATAGATGATTTTGATTTATTGAAATCAAGTTGGCATACTAAAAGTGACTAATGTGGTAAGACTTACTTAGGGTTTCAGGAGTTCTGATAGGCTTTGCTGTGCCTTCTCCCTTCTTGAACTAGAAGAATAATCTACCTGGGCTCTCCAGATGAGGTAGTTGCCTGCAGATGTGCATTTTCATTGAAATGCATTGCAGCCAGGTACAGTCTGGT